ATAGATGAATTGCAGTAGCGCTGCCCCGACCTATAGGAACACTACAGGCGGCCCCTCGGGCCGTGCCATAATGGAGAAAGAACTTTCTTGTTTTCATATTGCTTTTTACTTCTTGTTCTCACTGTCTATCTATTAGGCGGCATGGACCAGAAAGATTGCATATCCATTTGGAATCGAGAATTATCGAAAGCCACCACTAGGATGTCTATTTGTAATGTTGGCCTTACAACAGGATAGGCATACCTTCCCCGATCGAAATGCTTATTGGGATTGGCTGCCTTGAAAAAAAAATGAGGTTATGATCAACGACACTATCACTAGGACACACAAGGATTGTACTGTTCACGACCTTGGACAAATGTAAGCCGAGCGCTTGAAGCATAGTTCGCATTTGGGCACATCGCTTCCTGAAACCCGAGGGTATTGAATACGGCATTTGAACGAAAGCGAGATTGAAAATCTTCATCAATGCCAACCCGTCAAGTAGAGTCGTTCAAAAGATCCCCAACTTTGACCTTTCCCTTGGGATAGTGGATAACAGACTAGACCCCATTGGGAGTTTGACAGCTTTAATTTCACCGGACCGCCATCCCCGACCCGCCCAAGCCCACTGGCTTGGTGGGGAGGGTCGAGTCTGGGCCTCATTGTCCTAGCGAGATTGGATTTGCGACCAAGGACATGCTCCAAAGTTCCTAAAAGAGTCATGGTCGACGCATTATTGGCCGGCCAAGGTACACATGTGGATACCCCCGTCCATCTGACCTTTGAACGTCCCCTGCCAATTTTAGACCCGAAAAAGAAAAGCTACGGGTCACGGCTTCGGCCTCTAATACCCCCACCAAAGAGGTACCAAATGACGCACACTCAGTCTCTGTCGGTTCGATCGCACCCGATCGAGGGACACCATTGATCGATCGTGCATGCGGTGGCTCGGGTCAGGCCAACAACCTGCACTAGTCATGTGCTCAATTCAATCCATCTGCTTATGTGTGTGCCCCGAAGATCCAAATCGAGTCCTGATTTGATAGGCCCTGACGTTGGTTTAATTATATGATTAATACGAGGGGTACTTTCAGAGATGCAGCAATTCTCTTACCCGACTAGGAATATACTCTGCTCGTCATCTTGAATATCCATATGTCATGGGAGCAGGTTGCCTCAACGGTATCTTTGTAGCACACCGATCATGCAGCCTCGAAACGACCATCTCGCTGTTCCCGCTGATATTCCGCGTATACACCCTCACCCCCTTTCCACATGTCTATTCCTCCAAGCCCCAGACCGACTGTTGGATTATCAAGTTCCAAAGCGAACTAAAGACATCATCCCCCAAAGTACGATACCACCATCCCGAAGGTTCGGTTCCTTTGTATGTTGTATACATCCCCAATTCTTCCCCCCTGTAGCGGTGAAGGAACCCAACGAGACATCCCAGTCCTGGTAATCCGGAAGCTTTTCTCCAGCGTTCCAGAAATGTGTGACGGACACACACATCAAGGTCTTTGGAAGTGTAGATCAACCCATCTCCAACCCTACCCCGATCGAGTGATTTTTCGGTCATCGCCAATCCTTCCACCAGCCCCCCACCAAGTTAGTTTCCTCCGTCAGTGCACACCCGCTGTCACATATCCGCCGAATCGGCCGAATTAAGTCACGCCTCATTTTGAGGTTTCAGGGTGATTGCATCGCCGAGCAAATCCGACCCAATTCATTTTTTTGGTGTAAGCGGCAATGGCGGTCACTATATTATTTTGGTAAATTGTTTGCTCTGAAACTAGTGTGATGGGGATTGGCAATGCCAAGGTGTCAAACTTCCTGACGTTCGTTTTAGGCTTTCAGCATCTTTAGATCAAAGTGCAACAGGGAACATCCATGAATGCTGCTTTGCTGTACCTTTAAGCGAACAGGAATTGTACTTCAGCTGCCATGTCCCCGTGGCGGTGCTAAAAAAAAGCTGTGCCACGTTGTGGCTAGCTTGGGCGTTTAGGTAGAGCCTGTACGGAGTACGGAGTACATGGGTACAGCATAGGGATCGCCTCCCGTGTCCAATGAGAAGCTTTCAATCTCAATCATAGTAGGACCCTGATCATCTCTGACATATTTGAATAATAAAAAAAGGGGGTGTGCATCTAAAGTCTAGACCAAGTTAGTTCGAATTGAATTGGAATATTGACCATGGTAATACTCCGTAGTCTGTAGGTACGTTCGGGGTAATCCGTGATTTCAAATGTAACTGGGAAAATTGCCCCCTAACTATCCGACTCAAATAGGTTGAGAAAATCCACTTAGTTTCCACGCTAAAAACACGGCGGCTAAACAGACAAAGCAAACAAGCCGCGGGGGGAACAGGGGGGACGCAAACAAAGAAACAGTTGGGGATGTCATCGATGATATCGTGGAGATAGTTCCTGATCCCAGTATTGGGTGCCCAGTTTAGTCCTGCGCCCTCAAAGACATCAAATAATGACAAATCTTGTCCTCCGTACCGATGCCCTGAAATTGTCTAGTTCGAAGACACTGCTTTGTTCTATGTGTGCCACAGGGCCCGGCGGCAATCTCATTAAGCTAATTTGTCCGCCATATTGTCCGGGATTACTGCCTACGAGAAATTTCGCAATCCAACACCGGTGGACGGCACGGCAATTGAAAGGTTAGAAGGTTAGATACGGATTAGTTTGCATGGGATGAGATTAATCAGATGAATATAATGGTCAAAGTACACAATCAGATTGGAGTTGGTAGTGCATGAGAAAAGAAAAGAAAAAGGTCTTCTTGCATCTTCCCCGATATAGCGTGGATGGATAGTGGGACCGAGGAAGTATGTGTTGGACGGTTCCCCTTTTGTGTCCGGATAGTAGACAAGAGATAGTATATGAAGTAGCATTCTTGAGCTCATCTCATCACCCCCCCTCTCTTTGGGTTGCAATGAAGCCGTTTTGAATATTTTCTTTGTCTGAGATCCACCGTGTAAATTGTAGCGGTTATCACACAAGACGCCAGTGTAATCCACCGGCACGGGAGATGGACGCGTTGACAGCATACTGGGTACGGAGTTCCTTTCCCCTGGACTCTTTGCACGGACCCGGGCGGAGGTGGGGGAAAGATGGCAACGAGCTTCCGGCTAGCTGATTGGGCTGTCACAAAATCCCCCAAGATCCCCGTCAAAAAGTACCACGTCTAACCCGTCGTGGCGTAATTACTCGAACCATTTTGCAACCAAATTTGTTCCCCGGGGAAAGTAGATCACGCCGTGATATTGAGATGCCAGGCACTTGATCTCGATCTGTCCTAGAGCGTTTTGAATGACTTGGAGCCCACCGCGCGTCAATCGTAAGCGAGAGCTACGGTCGTACTCGTATGCCGTAGTTATTGCTTCCCCTTTTACTCCAACTGATTTGATTTTTGAGATGATGCCCGATCTCAGGGGGATCTGTACTATACTCAGCTGAAGCCAAGGTCTAGAAATCCATCAACCCACCGTTTTTGGCTTGCCACCCCGGAGTAGGTATCTGTTAATGAACGGAGATCGACGGCAGCAATAAGCTCTAGACGGGAGTAAAAAAAAAAAGTGACAGTTTATCGGCGAGTCATCTCCCAGGATCCAGGATGTTGGGCCATGCACAAGCCGTACCTTTGATAGGTTCAGGAAGAACGGGAAAGGTGGATTTAGTCATTTGGTTGGTTGCTAGTGTCGGGGCACTTTGATGTTGAGATCCGAAGATCGAGAACAAAAAATGTTACAGATAATATTTGATCAAAGTTCAGTAAGAGATCATGTATGTAGACATCATTCAAAATGTACAACGTACGGAGTGTACAGTCGCTACTTTCTTGATTTCAGCATGACGAATTACTTTTTGAACCGGAACCTCCGTGATCTGCATATTAAGAATAGCACCCACACGGCGTCAAATAGGGCCTGTGCGTCGTCCCAATGAGGTGTGTTCGGGGGTGCCTGACAGCTAAACGCTACTTATAGAGTTGATTATGATTGACCACTGGATTTTATTAGGTCTAGGCCACTGGTTGCCTCGTATAGTAGTGATTTAAAGATCTGAATCGACATTTTGGGGAAGAAAAAATACCACTGTTGGAAGGTCATAGAATTAATATGAATATAAATATAAAATAGATTAAATGAAATCCAAATATCATTTTAATAGAAAAGAAAAAAAGAAAAAGAAAAAAAAACGATCTACAAATAGTGTGGGACAGGGATGCTGGATCGGGTCTCCTAAGCTACTGCATGTCCGTGAATTGCGCCAATCTCGCTGCATACGATGGGACTTCCGGCTTCTGGGATCATCCTTGTTGAATAAATTGATTTTGATTTTATTTTTTAATGCTTTTGTCGTCTGTATTAAATCTAGAACTGGAAAAGGCTTGCATTATCCCCTTGAGTTTTTTGGGCTATACACCCTCAGCATTTATTTAAAACGATCATCCCACTTGATCTTCTTTCCATATTTTATTCTCAACTATTCCTTTGCCTTAGGAACATAAAAAAAGTGGAGGCATATCCTTTCCTGCGGTTACGAACACTGTCCTGCAGTTATCCGCTTTGCATCCCCTTTGAGACACTTGCACATTGTCAACTCGAAGTGAGTACATCCCAATCTCTAGTTCTGTTTGCAAGAGCTTGATTGGACACCCTGGTTGAATATCAGCGTTTGTCCTACCGGTTCCCGTAGCGGAGCGGCAATGGGCTTTCCACCGTTGGTTCATGAACACCTGTCCCGGGGACGGACTGGTGCTGCCGAAGATACTCAGAAGCAGTTGGGCTGACTGCAACTCCACAAAATTAGCCCCATCTTGTTCGACTAAATCGCAACCCCGCCACACACTATCTATAAAGAGAACAGTCTCTCCGAGACTCGCATTCAGAACCAAAATCAACTCTCCATTCTTGATATCTGAACACCATATCTTGATTTGAGATTCAATTACGGCGAGACGATCGTGTCAACTGGTTTCAACCCACGTCTCCTTTATCCGGTACAATGGTTTACAGTAAACCAACTCCCACAAGCGGAGCCATGAAGAGGTCTGCCTCGGCTCTGGAAGGACCCCCAGGATGGGGTGATGTTCCTGTACGTTTTCCCTCGGCAGGAGTCTGGGTTCAATCTTACTGATATTCGGTTTAGCCAATGATGAGCTCCTCCCGCCCATCCTTCCGCCCCCCTTACGCTCACTTCGCCATGATTTACCTGGACCGTGATGGCAAGCTCAAGGTCGATGAATCATCTTCTATTCAAGAGCAAAACTCCACTGTTTTCACTCCAGAGGTCCGCCAGAACTTCCTCGAGATTCTGGGCGAACGTATCGGCTATCATGCCCCTGCTCGCCGTACGTCAATGTCCCATTTCTAACAATCAAGGATCAATATATATTAATATCAATATAGAGTCTATGGACACATCTCCTCGTCGAGTGAGACGTCGCAAGGGCAACGCTGCCGCTCTTTCTGTCTCTGATGATCGCCTAACTGAGCAGGATTCTGACAACGAAGACTTCGCTAACGGATCCACTGAAATGGTTCCTCTCCGCATCGGAGATGCCCAGAAGGTCATGAGCTACTATGAAGGTGCCTTGAAGCACTTTCAACAGCTTAACTGCCGTATGGTTGCCAAGGCATTCATCAAGTTCATCGAGCCTCGGAAGCAAGTTCGACACCCTTACAACGGTGGCAAAGCCCCCCCCAGGATCTGCTCCCGGTACTACTGGTGACCCAGAAAAGACTAAGCCCGAATGGTGGCCTCCCGGTGTTATGCACAAGGAGCCTGATCACCTGAGAAAAGAGTGTATGGTTTCCCTATAGGACGTATTCTGTGACTACTTACTAACTCTATCTCAACAGATCGCATTGAGCTCTTGCTTCACATTATCCGCAAGCTCGGTGCTTACGGTATTACTGCCGATAAGCTCAAGGATGTTGCTGGCGACACCAAGCGGAGCTTGAAGCACGCATCTCACGTCGAAATCATCTACGAGATCCTCCGGGTTCGTAAGATGGAAGAGCGGTTTGAGCGAGGTGAAGTCGATGCCAACATGATCGTCTACACCATGAACCGCGGCCCCAGCCCTAAGGGTGATGAAGAAGATGACTCCACCGCCTCAGTGACAATTGAAGAGCCCGAACACATCAATCACGGATTAATGACCCCCATCTCATCATTTGAGCAAGCATCTGCCTCCTTAACCACACCCATCGACAATATTCCATCAGCTCGCTCCCTCCCAAGCAGCTTCTCCATGGCGGAGCCTCTCCACTTCGAAAATCCTACCCGCCAGGACCGCCCCTACTACACTTCACCTCCCCAATACACAGAGTCATTCTCGCAGCCCATGCTCAGCACTCCTGTGACCGCAGAGATGATCAGCCCCCACGACGTCTCGGTTTCGGCATTTGACTATTCCACTCACAATACCTTCTCAAACCCCACCCCCGAACACTCACGCGCGGGAGTAAATGGACACTACGACACCTGGAACCCATCTTTCCGTCAAAACATTTTCACTCCTGTCGAGTACTCCACACCGGCTTCTAGCCAGGGTATGACCCAGCCTTCAATGAGCTACCAGATGCCCATGGTGTCGCACATGCACGACATGTCCCACCACCACACCCAGCAACCCCACATGGACTCCCTCCACCAAAGATCCCTGCCTTTCCGCACGGGGTCATTGGGTCACCCAATCCCTAGTGGGCTGCCTGTTGCTCACGCTGTCTAAATGACAAATTGGGTGCGGCCCTTGTCACGAATGGTTTTGGCTCAAGGATGGCGATAAATTGGGGCATGGGTATGGATATGGGTATTAACGAACATATACGAGTGATGGCTCTGGCCAACAAACTTAGCGCTTATCACAAGGCTTTGCCAGGGGAGTTGTTTCTTTTGTTTCTGGGATTTTTGATACAAAAACTTGAGGCCATCATCCGGAGGCCGGTACAAATGGGATCCGTTTGGTTTTGTTTTTTTTTTTTTCTTTCTTTCTCTTTGAAAATACTTGGCTTTTGTTTTATTTTATTGAAGTGGTCTATATTCCGGTTTTAGTGTTCTTGACTTTTTTTTTTCAACTTTATCTTTTTGGTGTTGGCCTTGCGCGTCTTTTTTCTCGTCTTCTATTGATCTGGTTGATCCTTGGGTTATTTTTTTGTCTATATGGGTTTCTCCAACTTGTATGTTCGGAGCTGTTGATAAATGAGATTTGGGTAGATACTTAAGAATTTATTTTGTCGATAATATACAACCGAATCAGCTTTGGTATTGTCAATATTCATAGCCAAGCTGTTACTTTCTCCAACTACTCGGTCTTTCCCTCTTGAATTTGAACTCGCAACTAAACAGTATCGTAGACCTGTATTCAAAGTCTATTAAGCTTATGACCTTGCTATGAGCTACTACCATTTGACCAGTTCAATTCAGTCCTGAGCCGAGAGACCTATGAGTGTAGGGTGTCTGATACAATCACCAGGGTCTAAATAATCACAACCTCTCTTTATACATTGAACATGTACAATAATGGATGGCTGCCTATGCAGCCTTGAAATGTGTCTTGATAACTATTTTAGATATTTGGTTTAAATGCACTTTCCAAGATATCTAGAGGCTATATTTGAAGGCAACCTTTCCATGTACAACCTGATACATAATCATCTGTACGTTTGCTGCTTTATATTACCCTTCCATCTTCTAGCTATAAAACTGGGAAGGGAAAGATACACACAAAAAGCATCGTGGCAATGATCTTTGAATGCGGTGTCATGGACAGAGGTCGCATAAGGGTCCGACATTTCTTGTAGATATTGAATTCATCTGACATAGCTTTTCTGTATCCTTATAACGCTATGTTGAATCGAGGATCGAGGATAGAGCATAGCACTTTGTTGCCGACTAAGCAACATCCCATTCCAAGGTTTAAATAGAAGTATGGGCGTAGGTCTTGCACCGCTGGAATATTTGCCGGACTATACAATTCCCTTGAACCACTGGTTTAATAGATGCGCCTATCTACTAGATTCTAATCTCTCCCTTCAGCTTAAAAGCCCCTCAGCTGTTCTCATCCACAATAACCGCGTCTTGTATTATACTCGATTTAGAGGCTTGATGATCAACCCGTCGCTTCACATGTTGCTCGCGATATCTGCCTAACTTCAGATGAATAGGGTCCAGATAGTACCTCCTAGAGATGGTACTGGTTTACAGAATACAATGATGTCAATGGAAGCTCTGGTCAATAAGACATATATCCTATTGTTACTAATGTGCTCAATGGCTCGCAGCGGTGGTCCATTAGACGCAAGCGCGAGACGCGCGCCCGCCCGATTAGGCGCTTGGTCAGCGGAGTAAGCGGAGCCACTCCGCTCAGCTTGAAGCTCCGTAGGCACAGCGGAACTTACGTTCCTATCCTCTTCGATCGCTTTGTGCTCACTACGCGTTGAGATTCGGTTTCATTCTCATGTGGACTTTGCTGTGGGGCTGATTAACCGGTGCTGCCTTTCCAGTTCACGCCACTATCGCAAATTCCGACGCGCACGATTCACGAGCTTGAACAATCCCATCAATCGCAAATACCGAAAGCGACTAGTCTTTGAGGTCGCTCGTACATTGCCCGGAGAGAAAAGACTTGTGAGTTCATTCACTTAAAGGTAGCGCGAACACCTGTCCCCGAGTTCGTAAGAGCCCTCAGCTTTGTCCTTCGGCCTTTCTTTGTATCCATCCGCCGTCTTTTCTGTGCGGTATTGGGCCATCCGGGAAATTCTCTCCTATTTTTGTAACATGGGCTGACTTCTATGTTGTCGCCTCGGCGAAACAACTCCAGCAAACAGCAAACACCTTTCCAGATCTCTGCGCCAGTCGACTTTGCCGCCTATCGCCTAACGGAATTATCCGCCTGAAAAATCCGAATCAACTTGACCACAGAGCGAGTTGGGAGGCTTTTTAAGTAGGCGGAGGCCTATCTAATTTTTTCCGCTCTTTGCGGGCAGGATGGCTAGCCCGTTCAATCCTTCTGTTGGCCGCGGGCACAGGGGAGGCGCGCCGGGCGTGCAAGGCTCGACGGGACGGGGAAGAGGTGGGAACACTGGACATACATCAACATATGTGCCAAGAGGGGCAGGTGCGCCCCGCGCGGCGAGAGCTCGAGGGCGTGGACGAGGGTCAGCGACATGGACAGCTCGTGGCCGTGGTCGCGGCGCAGGCGCTGCAAGCCACATCGTGCAAGGATCTCAACAGCCCGCAGAGGGCCCCAAGGATGGGGTTGTCAACTCGCCGTTTGCGCAATTAAATCAACAAAAACCTGTCGTGTCGCCGTTCGGCGCCCAGCCCGCCCAGCAGTCTCCGTTTTCCAAAGTCACAAACACTGCTTCAGCTTCAAACGTTACCAAAAACCCATTTGCCCAGCCCACGACAAATATGAAGCAACAAACCTCGAAAAAATTTGTTGGTGGGGGATCAAATACTGCCGCATCGATGGAGCATGCATCAACGTTGAGCAACTACCAGGAACGCTTTGACAAAGTCAGTTTGCCCTTCCTCGAAAATGGAAAACGACCACAGAGCTAACAAAAATTGCAGCTCAAAATTGATCAAGTGAGACAGCGCGAACGGGCGATCAAAGATGGGCAGATGGCAGACCCAAACCAGCCGACTTCTTTGAACCAAGCCATTACACCTGTGGGTACCTGTACTGGCATGTGTCCTGATTTCGAGAGAGTGGAGCGGATCGTGCAGAAAGCAGTCGACAAGTGTGAAAAGGTAATAATGAGCTAGTTGCTATCTCTGCTGCCAGACTGACACCCAAATTTAGTATCATAACCCAGCAACGAATCAGCTGGAAATCATGGAAACCAAGATGGTGAAACGCTTCCGGCGTGCAGCAGCTGGAAATGACGAGCAATTGCCCTCGGATATCCGTACACCAAAGACACTTTTGCAAACCATGAACTATCTCATTCGTTATGTCATTAATGGTGGGGAATCATTGGCCACCATCCACATGTTTGTCTGGAACCGGACACGATCAATCCGAAACGACTTCTCGGTGCAGCAACTTACACACGAAGAAGATGTGAAGATAGCGGTTACTTGTCTAGAAAGAATTGCGCGGTTCCACATCGCGTCCCTGCATCTTCTTTCCAACCCGGCGAACACGGAGCAATTTGACCGTCACCAGGAGCGTGAGCAGCTCAACAACACCATGCTCTCTCTCATGTACTACTACGATGACAACCGCGAGCGTATTCACTTCCCCAATGAGGACGAGTTCCGCGCCTATCATATCTTGTTCTCGATCCACGACCAGCGGCCTGATCTGGAAGCTCGTGTACAGAAATGGCCAGCTAGCCTACTTTCTTCACCTCGCGTGCAGGTGGCATTGGAGCTCTTTGCCGCTGCATGTAATACATGGGAACCTCAAGGTGCTCTGGATTCTCGCCGAACGAACGCAGTTGCTCAGGGATTCTACTCTCGTTTCTTCAACATCATCAATTCTCCAAGTGTGTCGTATCTAATGGCCTGTGTGGCGGAGGTGTACTTCAACCACATTCGTCAGACAGCAATCCGTGCAATCTGGAAGGCATATTGCCGGACTCCGCTGTCGCAGCAATCCAAGAACGACCATTGGACCGTGGAGGAATTAACCAAGGTGTTGCACTTCGATAACGACGAGCAGACAATTGAATACTGCAATTCCCAGGACTTGCAGTTTGTCGAGAACGCGAGTGGTGGACTGTATCTCAATTGGGGTGATCGACCAGTAGACTCTGTTGGTAAGTGCTGCCAACCGACAACTGCATCTCAACCGAATCTTGTCTTCTTTTTTCATCTCTTGCCCTCTCCATCGTTCCAAGTTCACGATGCATTCCGTCGCATTTCTTCCTTTTTCTTTGTTGTATGACTAACAATTTCCCAGACTTTGCGCCTTCATCTGACCACTCTTTCTCTGAGACTTATGTGGAGTCAAAGCGTGCAGGACGTAGCCTTGTTGCCATCATTCTCGGCATGAATATCAGAGAAGCTACAAGAATGGGCATGATTGATCGCTCCCAGTTGCCTCATAAGAGTGAAACCCTGCATGAGGCTGAGGCTGAAGATGGGGACCTCTTCGTGAGTGATATTGATAATCAGACGCCTGCGCCTATTGTTGAAACACACAATACTCTTCTTCAGGATACATCAGCTTCTGAATTCCGGATTGCTTCCGAGTCTCAGAAATCTTTGGAATCTATTCCTGCGAGTTCGCCTTCAATGTTTCAGCCAAAGCCGCCGAATCCTTTTGCGGCGGCCTTTCAGCCATCTAAAATGCCATCTCCATCCCCGAATCCATTCGCAACTTCGATACCATCCACCTCTGTCACACCCGCAGCGCCGTCTCCTTTCACTTCTTCGCCCAATCCATTCTTGACCACAAAAGAACCCGAGCCAAGCAAAAAGACTGACGCTTCCGCCCCGACCACTAATGTGGCACCCTCGCTCTTCCAGACAAAACCCTCTTCTCAGCCTACCACTGTCTACAAGCCAACTGTATCATCCATTAACCCTGCGGGGCCCTCGCTCTCTGCTTTCGCATCTACTTCTTCTTCATCATCCATATTCTCAAAGCCAGCCTACGCAATATCCAAGACGGAGACACCTGCAACAACTCCGCCTGCTCCCGCGTTCCCAAAACCCAGCATATTTCCCCCGGCATCATCTACTGCAGACAAAACCACCTCCGCTCCTACGAATGGCTCTGGCTCTGTGTTATCCACCGCTTCAAGTCCTTTCACTGCGCCCTCTACTTTCTCTTTCGCCAAACCATTGGAGTCAACACAAGAATCGGCAACTCCTGCGGCAACTACCCCTGCGCAGTCTACGCTATTCAAGCCCACCGGCACTTCACCTCATGAGGCAGGCACCTTCACTGCACCGTCCCTATCCTTCTCCAAGACATCGGAGTCGGCTCAGAAGACGGAGACACCGGCGGCAATTACTGCTGCGCCATCTACCCTGTTCAAGCCAAGCAGCTCACCCTCAGCACCGTTGACTGAATCCAAGAACCCCTTTGCTTCTTCCATATTATCTGGTGCTAATCCCTTTGGTGCCACGTCCATGTTTCCAAAGGCAAGCCATGAGGTGGAAAAACCTGCTCTAGATACCACTACTCAGGCCACAATGTTCAAAAGCGATGCTAAGCCCCAGCAATCATCGATCGCACCGAACAATCCCTTTGCGCTTGCGAATGCTGCGCCATCTTTCCCACCTTCAGGTTTTGGAAACAATGTTACCACTGCTGCCCCATCTCCATTCCAGCCCACTAAAGCCATCGAGACAACTCCAGCCAAGGAGCCTGCAACTGCATCGGGTTCCGGGCAGCTCTTCTCGTCGTTATCGGTGAACAATGCCAGTGCTATTCCAGGGTCTTCTAGCGCGGCCGCAAGTCAATTTCCGGCCTCCGGCTCGATATTTGCAGTTCCCAAGGTACCACAGCCAATCCAGAAAGCGGATATACCAACAACTACTACGCCAGAGCTGGGTGAAACTTCAGTATTCAGCCGCTCCGCGCCTGCACAGACTCAAAAACCTGGCCCATCTCCTATCAACGCCTCGGCTTCAACTTCGGGCACGCATCGATCTGTATCGCATACCCAAGCGACGGCCTCTTCGCCCCCCGGACTCTATTTGAAGCACTTCGCCAGCCCAAAATATTCGACACCACATCGAACGCATACGCCCCTGAAACGGCGACTGCTCAGTCGCCAGCGCCCCTGTTCCAAACCCCAGAACCATCAGTGGTGGCTGGACAACAAGGGCCGTTAAAAAGACAGCGTGAGGCTACCGATGCAAATGTCTTTAATGAGTCCAAGAGGCGCTCCTCGCTGAAAGGGAAAGGCCCTACTGCAGCGCCTGATGGATCTTTCAAGCGGTCCGTGCATTTCGAAGAGGAGGAAAAGCCTACGCCACAGGAGTCGCAAGTTATTAAAAAGAAGCGTGTGCTGGATGAGCAGATTGAGTTCGAGCCGGAGGAGCAGGGCCCGAGTACTAAGGTGCCCAAGGTATCCACAGAGGAAGATCATGTCCCTTTCAAATTCTCCGTTTACAAAGCAGAGAACCGCCCTATGCCGAAGCTCCCGATCCTAGAAAAGCTAGAAGAAAAGCTTGCACGAGCCAAGGCCTTGTGCGAGCCGAAGCGTTTGACCGAAGAACAACTTCAGTTGATCGAGGAAGCTCGATTGAAACGATCTCGCCAAGTCGACGAGGACGAGATCGCTCTCTCCCGAGCACGCATCTTGGCCGAGAAGTTGAGGACCGGCCCTGGAATCTTCGACGGTTGGACTGGCCAAATCCGACAGCCATGGCATGACCCAAACTGGAACCCCGTTGCCCGGATCCTGGAAAAGTATCACGCCCGAAATATCCCCCAGCCAACTTCCTATGTACCCCCGCGTCTGACACTTAATCGCACCGCCAGAGGCTACGAGGTCGCTTATGCTCCTGACACCCCGGACCGACCCATGTCCCGCACCGAACAGCGTATCCGACGCACTGGTGCCCGTGGACTTGCCCATGTGCCCCTGGATTTCGAACGTCATAGGCGAGAGAAAGAGGAGTTGGCTAAGAGCAAGAACGGAAAGAAGGAGAACAACGATAAAGGCAAAAAGGACAAGGAAGAGAAACACTTGTCTTCCAAGGGCGCCTAAGGAGATGCACTACGCTTTGCTTATTCCCCGTGGTGTGGTTATTTCATGGTGTATCTCACACTGATTTATTCTGCTCTCATATGGGGCATAGATCTGAGTATCTGTCTATTCTATATGCTCATTTCACGTTTGCATTTTGCGGAGTCGTTTGTAATGATATCTTTTTTCCCCAATGGACATCTGCAGCGAAAATGTATTCATTTCTTTCAATTACTTTCTTCATTTATATACAGGCTATGATATAAAAGACGCGTTCGTCATGTAAACGCTCATAAAGCGGCAGGAAACTTTAGAGAATAGAAGCGCTCGGAGGGCAATGAAATCAGCATTCATAATTAATTTGTCGGAAACTATCTATGAACGTTCGATTTCTGAACTTGCGAGGTCTTTTTCTCGTCTTTGCGCCATACCCTTCCTCGAGGGGGTCATTCTGTCGCCGACGGACTTGGGATTTGGTTTTTTGGTAGCTGGCCAATATCGTTGTTTGTACAACCCGTTGTTTCGCCGACACCAGATGTATAGCAACCAAATCAAACCCGTTCCACCAAAGAGGAAAGTCATCATGGGCCCCAAGTTTGGCAAATTAGCGGTTGCTATGACATCAGGAGAAGGCTCCGCAGGCTTTGCGAGCTTCAAAGGTGTCTCGACCGGCTTCTGCAGGGTCGCAGGGGTTGAATCCTTGGAAGATGGAGTAAATATAAGGACAGGCGAAAGTGATCATTGTGACAGTGAAGGAGAAGACACCCATGGCACATGCCGTGACCTTGTTTCGGCTCTGGTTCACTGCTATTCTAGAAGATTTGGTGTAATATAACGTTCTAATAGACAAGTTGAAAAGATGATGTTGATATAAGCGAAGGCAACAATCGCAATTCCAACAAGGTCCCATACTGACGAGTGGTTCCATATCCCCCAACTACAACTAGAGGGCACATCATCCCGACTGTGATGGTGGTTTGCAGGGCTATACGATGGTATTGATGGTGAACGGATCGCCGACGCCGATCGACGCGAAAATGACCTTATGCCCCTCGACTGGATGTTTGAAGGGTGGTGGCAAGGGGATTCAGATTCTATCTCACACTCCTTGTCATCGTATTGTTGAATGAACTAGAGTACCAGCGCCGGATAGCAATTCTGAATCCAATAGATCTTTCGCAGAGCTGCCTTGACAGCTTCGTGCCTGTCGACATTTGGAGTAACATCATATAGGACTCTCCGGTAACTTGTGTAATGCAACCCCGATCAATGAGCACTTGAATGGGTCGTATTTCCCCTTCGGATAGGAAACAACACCAGATTGCTTTAATAGCATTGTGATTAGATGTTATTGTCGAAATCAAGCGAATTTCTCTGCATAGAATATAACACATAACCCAAGCTAGCTTCGGACACTAGGAAATACTCAATTGAGACTTCCCTCTGGGCTTTTCTGTGGCTGATGTTCATTTCAAGGTCAGCTGGAGACGGGGTTGCGCAAGTAAAACCAGGGGCTAGACATAAGAAAATCTTTTGCACCCAGTATGCTTTTTATGCTTTTCCCCGCCGTCTACCTATAAGACTAGAAAGTGAGAAAACTGTTTAAGAGATACTAGACAAGAATGACTGAGAAGCCCACTGAGAAGACTGCTGGGAAGACCTGTAGGACATCATGAGCCCACATAAGCGTCCGTCTACCAGGCCTCTTCCAAGGTTATCATCATCCTGACATAAGCACGTCCTCAACCCAGGGCCACTACATCGACTACACCTCCTCGATGGACCTATTGATATCTTGCCTTATGAGAGCACAAGCACAACAAGGCCTGCAAAGCGCTTGGGGTGATTCCTTGGTATCTATCGAAACAAAGAATTGATTTATCCCTCCCGAAAGAGGCTCATGCTATCACTTTAAACAACCACCAAGCATACCATGGCACGCTACTTGAGAATATTTGAGTACCCTGTTCGCTTCTCATGTCGACTTTCAGTTCCAGTTTTCCGGCCCATGTGGCATCGAAAGCTCGACTCGATGTCTTCCACCCGGCCGGTCACTACCATGAGCAAGAAACATTGCGTCGAGTACAACTGGATCGAGGGTGTGGAGAGACTTGAAGAATACCAGCCTGGCGGTTATCACCCCATTATGGTCGGTGACGTGCTACATGGCCGTTATAAAATTGTAGACAAACTTGGCTTTGGGGGCTATTCGACGGTTTGGCTTGCCCGAGACGCTTATCTAAATCGATATGTTACTCTCAAGGTCAGCATAGCCGACTCAATTCAGCACGAGACGAATGTTCTGAAGGCTCTGTCTGTATTGCCTTCGTCTTCTTCGCCGGTACATCCTGGCCGTGGTCTAGTACCTGTTTTTTTGGACGAATTCGAAGTGCGAGGTCCCAATGGAAAACATATATGCTACACAATGGCTCCTGCACAATGCAACCTTAGAGAGGTCTCCTTTAGTCGTCTTTTCCCCCTCAAAGTTGCTCGGGCACTTTCATACCGACTGGTACAGGCTGTCGCTTATACACATTCACAAGGCTATGTCCATGGTGGTTGGTAATAACAATGACTAGCCATTGAGATACTAGCTAACGGATACCGGATATCTTCGGCCATCTAGACATTCATTTGAATAACATTTTGGTCAAGCCACCGTCAACTTTCGATGAGCTTTCTATCGCGCAATTCTATGAAATGTTTGGCGGACCTGAGACAGTTCCTATCACACGACATGATAGAGGACCTTTGCCACCTAATGTCCCGGCCAAAGCTGTTGTGCCACTATTCCTAGGAAAATACGCCGAAAAGTTCTCATCGTCCGACGCACATCCGCTTCTAACCGACTTTGGTGAAGCGTTTTCCCCAACTTTACACATTCGTCTTGGGAAAGACTGTCATACGCCACTCGCGTTTCGGGCTCCAGAAGCAAAGTTTGAATCGCAAACTCCGCTCGCGTATCCCTCGGATATTTGGAGTCTTGCTACGGCAATCTGGGAGATTATCGGAATGAAGGCCATCTTCAGCACCGAACTCGTGGGTGAAGATAAGATAGCGGCTCAGCATGTTGATGTACTAGGGCCTATGCCATCGGAATGGTGGCAGCACTGGGAAGGACGAGCCAGATTCTTCAATGACGATGGCACTCCCAAGGAGTCTTATATGGAAAATAAATGGCCGCCTCTGGAGGAATCATTTGAGACCGGTGTGCAGAAATGGAGACAGAGGGTGGGAGACGAGATTGAGGAAGAGGAGAAAGTTGCGTTTCTGGATTTGATGCGACGGATGCTGTCTTTCCGGCCAGAAGAGCGACCGACTGTCGAAGAGGTGCTGATGTCAGATTGGATGGTCAGCTGGGCATTGCCTGATTGCCAGCGGAGCTGAATGCATTTTCTGATATTCAATATTCACAGGCCTTGCATGATAAGTCAACGAAAAGGATATATGCGCATGTCTTTGCATCAAAGTTGAATCCAGTAGCTGGTTACAGAAGTTTTCAAAAATAGTCTTAGTTCAAGGCGAAAGGCATGAAGCTATATGGGAGGGGCCAACGCCAAACAATGAGATGAAGGGGACGTGGACAGGCAAGCCTTCTCGAGATGAAGCAAGGACCAAAGCGAGCTTTTACAATGCACATTCTCAACATCAAGTAATATCCGTACCAATCATAGCGCAACATGACGGTGTTCAACGTTAGTGCATAATTGGCATGCTTGCGATGCTTTTAATTATCTATATAGCTCTAAAGCCCACCGAATACTCTACAATCTTACAATTCAAGCATTCTGGCACAATCTCTGAACGTCACAATGCTTGCGGTGAATCTAGAAACCGAGGGCGGATATTTACCCCTGAGCCCTGAGGCACCAACTTTCATTTGACTCGCGGCCGAATCATAGCACTTCCATCCAAACAACAACCATACCCCGGAAGTAATTGATCCTGTCTTGGACTCAAACCACAGTACATTGGGATTTATCTTGTGGCATATTAGGATATAATCCAGGGATTCCGACCCGCTCGCCATCCTGGCAAAAAACCTGCCCCGCTGGGCCCGTGTTTGGACCAGAAGACATCAACTTCATACCTCAACCACGTCAAGAACACCATTGGTTCTAGACGCGTCTCTTTCACTGTTCCCTAATCGAATTCCTACACAACGCGTGTCGCTTCTTAATCTCAGAAATTTCTCAACATCACCGTTCCACAAGATGAGAATTGCAACTCTTCAATTCGCGCCAAAGCTAGGCGATCTCAAAGGCAATATTGAGAAAGCAAATACTTTATTGAAGACTGGCAAGATCATTTCTGTAGATGGGAAGGAGCTCGGGATCGGGATAGATCTGTTGAAGCCTGATATACTGGTGTTGCCTGAGTTGGCGATGACGGGTAAGTATCGATCCAATGGATGGTCCACGAGCATATATTGCACAGCATGAACTCCGTTCCTTTTCTGTCATTCAGCTCAATTCGGAGAGAAAGTTTTACTGGCTAATGAATGACTAGGCTATAACTTCCGTTCCCTGGAAGCGATCAAGCCACATCTTGAGTCGGTTGGTGACGGTCCTTCTGCCTCGTGGGCGCGAGAAACAGCCAGGCGTTTGCAATGCAAAGTTTGTGTGGGTTATCCGGAGGTTGAGAAGGATTCTCAAGATCCCGACAAAATTACATGCTATAACTCACTTCTTGTTGTCGATGAGAAGGGGGAATTCATCCTTAATTACCGCAAAACCTTCTTGTATTACACCGACGAAACGTGGGCGGCCGAAGGTCAAGTCGAGCGAGGATTCCATGAGCTTGAATTTACCACTGAAGGCAAGCAATCTTCCTTGATGAATCCGGTGCATCAGGGCGAGCAGGTGCTATCTGAGAAAAAGCAGGTCGCAACTTCGCTTGGTATCTGCATGGATATCAATCCGTACAAGTTTGAGGCGCCGTTCGACAAATGGGAATTTGCGACTCGAGTCCTCGACTCCAAGTCTCAGCTTGTCATTCTGTCCATGGCCTGGCTGAACACTCTGAGCCGGGAAGAGCTCGATGCCTTGAAAGATAAGCCCGATATGGATACTTTCAACTATTGGCTTCAGCGGTTCTGGCCCCTATTGCAAAAGAGAATGGAACATGAAGTGGATCTTGACGGCGGAAATGCGGCAGATTCCCCGAAGAAGATCGTCATCGTCTTTTCTAATCGGTCGGGCGAGGAGCCACCGACAGAGGATACCAAGCCACCAGCGCGATATGCGGGGACAAGCGCTATTATTGCTGTGACGCAACGGCCCACTCTCAATGCTGCGGAGAAAGATGCAAGGTCAGGTGCGCACGCCCCTGATGAGGAAAGTGAGACAAAGGATGCAGGCATCCCATTCGACGTCAAGATACTTTGCTGGGATATGCTAGGCGCCGCGGATGAGGGTATTTGTTTCGCGGATACTACGGCAGATCCACAAATGGTATTTGCACTGAAAAAGGCGTCTGGGTGAGGGGCGCACTGGACGCGTCAGGCTATTCCACAGATAATCACAGATAACGAAGAATCTATGAACGGGTCGAGGGTCCACCCTTGGGACATGACATTAGAACTGGCATCTCGATCACCCGATTCCCTTTGATTCCTCCCGATCCCAGAATATTTCATCCAGTATATATACTAGATGGTGTGTATATTGCTCAGTTTTATGGCGATCCTGCCTTCAAGTATGAAGGACCCCACTGATTACCACAAGCGCATCATGTGTAGGTGATCCATGTGACAAGGGACTCAAACATGATGACATTGGAGAAGATCATCGAGATCGTCGCAATCTTCAGGCGAAAAGCTCAGATACTTAGCTTAATTTCGCAGGTGGAATTTTGAGGTCTCATGATCATTCAGTCTTCAGGTTTATCAACCTGCGGGCAAAGTACTAGAGGATACCTTTTTGGATCACCGATGCAACCCCTTGGAGAGATAATGGTGTGAAGGGCTTGGGGAATCCTATTTCAAGATTCTCATCTTGAAACATGTGATTCTCCTCTCCCCCACCCCGATGAGGGTTCAGAGGTAAACCGATGAGAAGACAATGTATCCTGTAAGCTGGGTGTATTTAAAAAAGGACTCGAGTTATATCATGATCTCAACCAGTACACCCGCTACGTGATGCACGGCTTTGTTCCCCATTGCCACTATCCTGGGATATTCCCCTGTTGTGTGTCCGGATTCAGTTGAAGGGATGTTTCATACACTAGTGGATCTAGCCTAATGGCTTGCAGGGAAATAAAGATGGGGTCACTTCGGGTCAATTCCGGTTGTATTGCATGTCGTTAGTAGCCTTCTGTGTCTAGACTATGCCCATATACTTGTTACTTTAGTAGATTGTAGTTTGTATCCGATGGTCTGACCCCCTGGTAGTGGGTGAATAGAGGCTGTGATTGGCCTCTAAGATACCACTTCACGTGATCTAGGAATTCCCCCTCCGAGATCCGGTAGCCAATCAGAGACCAGGACAAGAGGTGTGCAGCAGAGGGGCACGGGATGGCTGCACATGACTTTCGACGAGAGATGGAGGCGTAAAAACTATTCAAGCATTTTAGTTGGTTATCTTCAGCTGTTGTCGGTTTCTTTTTGGATGCGTTTGCAAAATTGTCTAGACCTCCAGGGCTTCCAGGCGGTATGCGGTACGCTTACGTCAGTGTATCTTTTTGAACAGAGAAATCAGGTGACTTAATGCACTATTGGTCGCTCTGATCTGCCGGACTCAGCGCGACTCCTCCTCTCGACCACCTCCTTGCCACGTGAGCAATCCATCTTGAACTTGTCCGCCACTCTACATCTTTCTAAAGAAGCACCTTTTCTTATTTCTAAATTTACCGCAAGGTAGATTGCTAACTTGCTCATATCTCTTGATATCTGCTTCTTCAAATTTTCAACTTTCGCATTGTCACGTCCCAATTTCGAATTCGGGGTTTCGCAGACAACGTGACCTGCGTCTTGTTGTTGTCGGGCAGGTGACTTCCTGTCAGGTGATAAAGAGAGATCATCCCAAGGTACGGCTCCATCAATGCCCCATCTTCATCCAGATGTCCCCATGTCATTGCATGTCGCGTTGTGATGCTCATCGCAAGTGGTGACCTTCACGACGCTGGCCCCCTGTGTGACCTCAGCTGCCTGCAAGCCATCATGACGCGTTCTTGATATCTGGGATCCCGATGTTTCGAGGCATCGCATTATATGCGATCGCTTGACAACACCATTGCCCCGTAGAACTATCATCACGTCCCACCATTCACCAGAAAATTCTAATGGGGATGGCCGGGTCGGACATGAGCAGACTCAAGTCGCCCTACGAGCGCGTTGGCCCCACGCGTCTGTTTATTTCGCGGGGTGTCCACCGATCTTCGGGGGACTGGATCAGCCAGGCACCGACTTGCGTCTCCAATCATATTGTTCTCTTATCTTTCAAGACTTACTTCACATTGCTTTTCACTTACTGGCTACATGACTAACCACTACAACGAATAGGACGATCAGCTTTAGGGCTCAGCATGTCTGATCCCACTATGAATAGCCCAGATACTGGCTCGCACAAGCGCAAGCGAGATGGCTCCGAGGATCTAGGTCCCGACCCGCAGCGCCTCAACCGCTCTTCCCACGGAAGCAACGGCAGCATGGATAACCAGCACAACTTTGGCCATGGAGGTCTCGGAAACTATGACCACGGACTTCCCAACACCGGGGCGGAACTCAACATTGATCAGCAAATTCTTCAACATGTTGGTCCGCAGAACGGCCTGTCTGACGATAACGCGTTGACCGCGAATGCCAAAGCCGCCTTGGCTGCACACACTCCTCAACACAAGTACCCCCCTCCTCCCGACTCCGGTTTCGATGCAAGCAACCTCACCCAAGGACTGTCCTTTGGCGATGAGATGAATCAGGCCCCCATGGGCGGTGGCCACAACCACAATTCGACTGCCGCTGCCGTCTATGCTGCGCGCGAGGCTCAGAGTATGAACCAGAAGCCTACCGTTGGTTCACCCGAATGGCACCAAATTCGCAAGAACAATCACAAAGAAGGTAAGAATCACATGTCTGATCGCGTTTGTGCTATACTGACCCCTTCCACTAGTTGAACGTCGCCGCCGCGAAGCTATTAACGAAGGTATCAACCAGATTGCTCGTCTTGTGCCGAATTGCGATAAGAACAAGGGTGCCATCCTCCAACGTGCCATTGAATATATCCTGCAGCTGCAAGAGGAGAAGAAGAACATCGACGAGCAATTTGAGAAACACAGTCTGACTGCTAATCATGCTATCGCCGAGATCAGCGGCTCGAACTCGAAGCTTAAAGGTGAGGTCGCCCGGCGCAACAACATTGCCCTCAAGTGGCTGTCGCGTTGCCGGGATGCCGGCCTGGACTTTGATGACTATGAGGAGTCCAAAGAGCTAGAGTCACTGGAGATGGATTAGGCTCGTCATCCTTATTCTTCTTCATGTGCTACGACTTGTTGCGTTCCGGAGGTCAAGACTTGAACATACCCTCATCTCTCTGTTTTTCAAATCTGCTGTGCTGCTGTTACCAGATATCTTTTCTTACTACCATGTTTCCTCCAATCGATGTAACCCTCACCATGAACTTCTTATTACCCTCGTCTCCCCACAATGCAGTCTACCCCTAGCACTCTAAGTGTTACATTCCCCATTAGCTTGCCCTTTCGACTTGTTTGTGCAATCTTCTCTTGTGTTGTTGCCTATCTCCTTTGATCATTCTCTGCTCACACACATTTACGGTCGTTGTACGCTACTCGGGCTTTGTTCTTTATTTCTTTTTTTTCTTCTTCTATTTCATCATTAATGGATTGTGGGCTGGCGAATCTACGGCTGGGATGGGTTTTGCCTTGGGATGGAGCTGTGGGTTGTTAAGTCCTTTTTTTTTCGAACTCTTTTATTACACTTCTCCCTACACTTGTCCTTGTAGAATCGTGTCATAGATGTATTTTCACATGTCGATTTTTATAGGACCCCTGACCTATACCATTTCCTCCGCTTGTTGGATACAGAAAATGTGACAAGATTTCGGTTTCCTTAGTGTGATAGGCTAAACAGGATATTTTGGGTATATAGTAGGCAGCTATGCCCTCAAATAAAGATCGACCACATCCCCCAAGGCGTCATAGTTATCAGTGCCATAAGCCACTGAGGTCAAATCCCGACACAGCCCTGATCAGCTTAGGCTACCCCTCTATGATGTCAACTCGAAAATCCAACTCTTCTATTTAATCCGATCTCTTTCTGGTTTCCTATACATCTCTATATACATTTCTATATTCAACCATGCCTTCTTATATTGTGAGTAAATAATACATGACCATGTACATCTTGCTAACCCTTCGGAGATCACATGCAAGCCAGACGCAACCGACGACCAGGTTCAGGCGTATGCACCTCACGCTGATCTTTGAGGTAAAATATGCTAATATATTGTTTTTAAGCGTCAAGGATAAGGCCACAGAACAAGGTGGCTCTATCGGACACGAGTATTCGTTGATCAAGGGCTTTTCGTGAGTTACTTCGACACTCGTTGCAGCGCCAGGTGGCTAATTCTTGGTCTTCATGTTCACAGTGTTACTTTCCCCGAGGACTCGGTTCATAGCCTGGACTCACACCCACATGTCGAGAACGTCGAGGCCGACGGTGAAGTGAAGACACAGTAAATTGTCTGCCAGATGTGATATGTGCAGACAACATACATGGCAGGAGGACCGATCCGTTAGCGTCTTGGATCACGGCCTATCTGGGTTGTGATACATACAACGGAGTCCTTATCAGCTAGAGCACGACTTTACGATAGAGAGCAAATGAGCTATATGTTTCAAAGAGAGAATGAGACCTTGTAAATTGACGTTGCTATAGATTGCAACGGACTAGATAACCTCTTAACTCAGGAATCCCCTCACCAAACCACCCCAGGAAAGAATATATCAACAGAAGAAAATAAACATACAATACTTCCGCTCAACCCCAAATTTACAAGTTAGACTTGGCAGTAACCTCATTGCCAGACCCAACACCGACGTTCTTCACAACAACGGTCTTGCCACTAGCACCGGTAATACGCACATCCACAGTGCTAGTACCGAATCCAGCAGGGTTCTCGAAGAAGTTGTAGTACTGGCGGGTGGTGCCCTGCCATGTGCTACCGCCATCAGTGCTAACCTCCAACGAAGTGACAGGCTCGTTGGCATTGACAACCTGCATCGAGAACCAGTAGGCGGATGTGCCCTCCTTGTTCTTGAGCTTCAGGGGTCCGTCCAGGTCGCAAGACACATATGACCAGGTGGTCTGGATGATGCCGGCGGAGATGTCTGAGAGCTCGGCGAAGGCATTCTGGAAGAGGTCGAGATGGTTGCTTTCGCATTCGGGGCATTGATCGACGATCTGGATTGGGTCAGAACTGGCCAGGGATGGAAAATAAAAGAGAAAGGAGGGGAGATTGACTTACCATTGCTTTGATGGAGTTACCATTGGGTCCGGTGACGGATACACAGGCGCCGCAGTTGGCTGCATCGTCCCATCGCTGGAGAGAGAGGGCTGCACCAAAGAGGTGGCTTGGGAGGGTGTATCCGGAGAACGAACATGTTCCGCCGCCGACATTGCCGCCGTAGAAGGTGGCTTTGCCGGCGTTTCCGTTGGAGGGGCTGGTAGATGCAGATTTGGTGGAAGAGGAGGAAGTAGAAGATTTGGTAGATGTGCTGGGAGCTTCGACGGTAGCCTTGGTGGTCTGTTCGACGGGGGCCTTGGTAGTCTGTTCGACGGGGGCCTTGGTAGTCTGTTCGACGGGAGCTTTCACAACTGGAACAGCAGTGGGTTCGACAGGGAGAGTCGCAAGTGAAGTGGGGGGAATAACCACAACTGGATCAGTCTTCACAATGTTGGTCTCGGCAGCAGTGGTCTCGGCAGCAGGGGCTGAAGAGGTTGTAGTCTCGATTTGGGCAGCTGGGACGGAAGTTGTAGACTCCACGACGATGGCAGTAGTCGATGTAGTCACTGCGGGTGCAGCGGTGGTTTGAGACACGACAGCAGCTGTAGTAGACGACGAAGAAACCGTAGACTGCACAGAGGTGGCAGATGCATAGATGGTCTTGTAGTAGACGCTCATAGTGTAGCCCTTGGGGCAGAATCCGTCATTTTCGCGGATGCCCAATGGACCAGCGGAGACAGTAGCGGCACTGATAAGAGTGGCCACGGAGGCCAGACGAAGATACTTCATTGTTGGATTTATAGATCGAAAGAATGAAGGAGGTTGGGAAGCAAAGTGGTCAATATCAAATATCGAATGGATGAATATAAGTCACAGATTGACTGGAAATGATCGGACGTGCAGGTGCACTGTAAAAGAATGGACGTCTGGGTAACGAATGCCAGATTCGAAAGAGTTACTGTTCCAGACAGGAGGTTAAAGGAAGCAAAAGAAGGTATGAAGAGGGAAGGAGAAAAAAAAACATGCGATGAGAGATATATAAACCTTGGCCTAAAATGCTCATCTCCTTATGCAAGTAACTCATTTCATAGTAAGAACTACACCTCAAAAGGTGAAACATGGCGTCGATGGTTAGCCAGTATAAATGCTTCGGAGAAGCCGAAAAGGGAGTGTGATCCATTATACTAGACCGGGTTAGGCTAGTGGAGGTTGTTTAAATTAAAGAGGAAAAAAAAATGAGGAAAAAGAGGAAATGACAGTGAGTCAAGATAAAATGAGCTGTGTTAAACGGCTATCGAGCATCCCACATAATCTCGTTCAATCCCAGTAGCGCATCTGCACTGGCCTTTTTCGCCGACATGAATTCTTCTCGGCTCTCCGCCCCCCGTGGACCACGCAGAATTTCGGAAAAGCAGAGCTCGACGAGAACACGTAGCTCATCGTAGGTAAATGGCTCGCCATTACCAGCAGCCAAGGCTTTGTCGCCATGAGATGCAAAAGCCTCCTTCTCTTCCTTGGCATATTCCAGAGTCTTCTCGGCGCCCTCGAGGAACCAGTCCAGGAACTTGGCGCTGCGTGGTAGGGCGACGACTTCTTGAGCAGCCTGCGCGTGTAAATCTGTAGTTGAATCCGTATCACCAGCTGGATCGATGATTATGTTCTTCAAATTTTGTTGGAGAACAAGCACATCCAGCTGTAGTCGTAGCGCGCCATTCTCATTCATGGCCCCGATATACTGGGTGCAGGCAACGAATACCCGGTCGATAAACCGTGCCAGGCCCGACGTGATGAACCAGCGCTCAACAGATCCCAGATATGTCGAGATGTTGGTGTCGAATGCGATGAGGTCATTGTTAAGTGCGAGGACAGTGGGCGATGCAGCGGTTGGCTGGTTCATGATAATGTGCCACCAGTTGTCCGTTGTGTTAGGGGATGGAGTGATGGGCTCGGAATTCCGCAAGTTAGGAGGATTTGGCCCGGACATTGTTTTCCTCAACATGTGGATGATACCACAGCGAATGTCAATATGCAGTGTCAGAATCGCAGTCGCCCCGAGCCGGTGTAATGATTGGAGCGTCCCATCGAAAGCAACAACAGTCTCGTGGTTGAGTGGCAAATGCACCGGGCTATTGAGGCTATCGCGATTAGGCTTCATGGACCCGAACAGAGTCCATCTACGAGACGGTCGGCCACTTGCAGTCAAGCTGGATGATTCCTCATCCACGGTTTGCTCAACCACGAGTCGGATTTTCGCGAGATGACTTGCAAGCCATTGCATGCTGTTGTACAAGAGCGAAAGTGAAATGACGGTTTTCGGGTCAGATATGATGTCGTAAGGCTCCAGAGGCACTTCCCCTGTTCGCTTGAGAAGAAGGTCGATTTCAGTATCGATCAAGGTCTGTTTCTTGTCCCCAGCACCTTTCCACAGTTCATCTACAACATCATAGATGTCGCCTGAGTCAGCAAACGAAGCCGCAGCTTTCAGCTGGACTTCGCCCCCACGATTCCGCGCAGAGACTTTCGTGACCATTGCTTTGTACCATCCACAGCACTTGTCATAATAAGTCACAATCTGGTCAATAAGAAGCTGGGTAAATGCTTGATCGTGTGGAATACTCGACAACATTTTGCTAAATTCCCGAACAATGGACATGAATTTCACCGTTCCCCTGAAAATAGGCCGAGGAGAGGACTTGGCCCAATGGGGGTCCTCTGTAAAGGCATCTGCAGAAATGAAGCTGAGCGTGCAGAGATCCGTCACTGTTTCATCCAATTGGGGCAGGAAGACATTGACCATGAAGTCATCCAAAAAGGATGTCAAAGTGCCCATTGGAATATCCGAGTCAACAGGAACAATATCCTTGAGCCGCTGAATGAAGGATAAAGATGGAGGAAGCAGGATCCCCATATTGAAGACACTTGGTTCAAGTAAGATCTTATGCCCTGTCCCTGAGTTGCCCTTATGGGATTGTGCAGTATCATTTGTGGCGGTCTTTTGCCTTGACTTAGAAACAAGTCCTGGGACTGAGGACTTGAGAATTTCATCCAGTTCGTCTTGCTCAGCTTTCATCTCGGAATTATGCTCGATATCAGATAATTTAAACATTTTCTACGACATGAAGGGTCAGCTTTTGATAATAATGGAAAGAAGTAATCTCCTTACCTTATTCTTATCGCGGTTGCCGGTGTATAGGTGGCGTCGAGAGTCAGTCTCTTCTGCTCTAGATCGAACAGAAGAGTCGCCATCGGTTGCAAGATAGTCGTGCATGAGAGATCGTATCTGAAACAAATTAATACTCGTGATGCCATCCAGAGGTATTGGCGCCTTACCTCGCTTTGTAGAAGCTTCCACAGCTCCTTGAACCCACCGGAAAGCGTCTCGCTTTTAATGAGACCTTCTCGCTCCACAATAGCTGCAACAACATCGTGAAGAATCCGGTGGCCTTCCGCAATTGCCTCAAACTTGGCATATAGTGCCCACAGGAACTCAGAAAGGACATGGCCCCGTTTTTCAATAATCTCGGTGGGAAGACTGGACTGTTTGTAGTTGTCCTGGGCCGAGAAGCTCTTGGTTGGTGCAGGATAGCGAGTATCAACTTCTGCGTTCGTCTTATCCACCACAGCAAACAGTTCGACCGGAAGACGCTGCTCAATCCTATGAACCGCGACGTCGAGATGACCCATCTTATTCAGCGCTTCGATCAACAACTGAATGTAGGAGAACGTGTCAGCCTCCGGGTTCCGAGAGGCATCTTCGACCATAGGCGTCAGCGGATCGAATTTGGCCAGGAAACTATAAACAGGCCGTTCCCAGGAGCGACTACCGGACCAATTGGACGTATGCACCTCATCTTTGTCATCAGATGTCGGTGGTTTCCATCGGTCTGAACAATAGGGTGATTTCAGGTATAAATGGTCGTGCAACTCCTCGATTAGGATGTCTGTGAGCGACGTTTCCTGGTTTATGAAGTAAGCGCGAATATCGGATAAAGCACCGATGTTCTCCAGCTCCGAACGGCGTAGAACCCGGAGACCAGTGTGAAGCACATCCACGGCTGCGAGGAAGCGCTTGTCTGAAATCTGAGATTCCAATTTCTCGGGAAGAGATTGGATTTCCTCAATCTGAGTAAACAGCTGTACGATGTCATCGTAGTTTTGAGAGGACGTTGCCAGCCCTTTCAACTCGGGCTTCGTCGATATTAGTCCGGATTTGGCCTGGTCCAGGGCATTTCTCAGGCTGCGCACTCGACTTTGCGAGGAAGATATATTGGATTGGATTTTGTGGTATGTTCCAATAGAACTGTTGAATCCCTGATGATGTTCTATGACATGGAAGTTCAGCATATGCCTGCCCTAATCACTATAAAGAGGACCTACCATTGACAATTGCCTTCAATGTCTTCTGGATGTCATTGTACATGTGCAAAAAGTCCGGCTCACGGTCTGCTTTGCCCAACGTACTTGTGTCCATCAAACTCAGAGCAACATGTACAGGGATACACTCGGCATCGGTCATGAAGTCCCAGTCCCGCTGAATAGACTGAAGAATCGCTGTAGAAAGTAACTACGTTAGCTGTTAACCCAGGCTAGGCAAAAGAAAAAGACATACTTTCAATAGCCTGTGCCTCCCCAGAGCTATTACTCCTCATAGCCACAGGCGACGCATTCCTCTGGTTCCTTTCTCTCGCGTCCCTTTGGCCTCTCGGGTCTCTTTGATCTCTCGGGTCCCGTTGATCTCTGTGATCCCTATCTTCCGCGTACCGATTTGCATCTCTGGGCCGTTCTTCCTGATACTTTCTGTCTGGTTCTTGGTTCCTTGTGCGTGACCGCGACGAGGGATGCGAAGAGGCTTGCGAGGAGGGGTGGGAAGAGGGATTTGGTGGAGGATGTGGAGAGGAGTTCGAAGACGGTTGCGGAGAGGGTTGCTGCCAGTCCCGGTTCGTTCGATCGCGCCGCCGCTCCGGCGACTGGCTTGGCGCAGGAGATTGGCCTGGAGATAGAGCCTGCGGTTGAGGGGAGTCGGCGTAGAAGCCACCATATCCGCCGGGGCGGCGATCCGAACGTGCACCTCCACCTGGAGGTGCGACACCCCGTCCACCGTATCCGTTTACCCCAGGGTTGCTGTTTCCACTGTATCCCCCATCGTTGCCGTCGTACCGACCGGGACCGGAGTAGCCATACCCGTTACCATAGCTGTTTTGGCCGCTCATTGTAGATGATGCGCGCTAACCACGGGGTGTTCCGGCTCAGTATCGAAGTGTGGGTGGGCTGTGACAAGGGGCTGGCGTGGAGCCCGTTAGCCAGGTCGGTCTTAGGTCCTATGACTTGCGCGCAACAATTGGCGAGGGGCTGCCAGCATTATTGAGTTGAAATACAGAGAGCTGAAAGTAATTCACCAAGGCCGTGGTGGAAGTGTTGAAACAGCCCGGGGCGGAGTGTCATGCTCCACCAGAGCTTCCCGCATTCCGTTCCACTGGCCAGTTGTCAGTCAGTTTACGGCTTCATTATATCCTTCATGAGTCGATTTTTTGTTAACAGTTACTTGGAGGTTTTATTTTTATGTACTCTTGATTATCCATGCCTAGACATCAGTGAAATAGCGTATATCCATCTACGCTGTGTTCTACATAATACCGTCTAATCAATAGCAGTAGGAGCAGATATCAACTCACAACCCATCAAGGCCACGAATCACTTATTTGGAGATGGGCTTGGTCTCGCGCTCGAGCCATGAGCGTGTCAAGTCGTCCTCGTCAAAGAAATGCTTTGTCTTGGCCCAGATCTCGGCGTGGTAGTCATTCACCCACTTAAGCTCAGCGTCGCTCAGAAGAGACGGCTCGATCAGGTTGCGGCCAATAGGGGTCATCGTAACATGCTCAAAGCCTAGCCATTGCTTGTCACCAAACTTGTGAGCGGTTTTAACTTCACGAGCCATGACGATGTCTACAAAGAGAGAGATTAGTACTTTTTCTTTTTTGGTCACAGGGGGTCAACTCACTCTCAATTCGAATACCAAATTTGCCGTCCTCGTAGTATCCGGGTTCTATCATAGAAATTAGGTTCCAGCTGCAATAAGTAGAGGATGAGAGACAAACCATCCGAGATAACGTTTCCGGCCGCGATGGGGACCTCGGTATACTGGACGCGAGTGCCGATGCCAATAGGACCCTCGTGGACATTCTGAAAAGAGGTCAGCAAAGTGTGGGGTGTCGGATCAGCGCAAATACTCACCAAGTAGGAGCCTACGCCATGACCTGTTCCGTGAAGGTAGTCCAAGCCTTCCTTCCACAAGTGCTGGCGCGCCAACACGTCAATTGCAAAGCCACTGGTGCCCTTAGGGAACACCGCCATGTCGATTCCAATGGTTCCCTTCAACACCAATGTGAAAGCACGCTTCTCGAACTCTGTGGGGACACCGAAGTGGAATGTTCTCGTGGTGTCGGTCGTTCCGTCCAAGTACTGACAACCAGAGTCGCAGAGATAAATTGCATTGGGGTCGATGATAGAACAACTTCCCTTCTGGGGGCTATAGTGAATGACGGCACCGTTGGGCCCAGTTGACGAGATGGTATCGAAGGAGAGACCAGCGAACAGATCATGCTTAGAGCGGATCTGTTCTAACTTGTCGGCTCCATCAACTTCGTCCATGACAGTCTTCTTGTTGACGAGTTCATTTTCAAGCCAAGCAAAGTACTCGGTCAGGGCAGCACCATCGCGGATATGGCAAGCCCGCATTCCTTCGAGTTCGATTTCATTTTTGACAGCCTTTGCATCCGCGACCGGGCTGCGGGCCTCTTCGACCTGACCCTCGCCACCAAGGCTGAGGCTAAGAGCCCAAGAAGCCTTGTTTGATAACAAGAACTTGGCGGCATTCTCGCCTTCGGACTGGCTTCTAATGCTCAGAGCTTGAGCATCAGCAAAGATGGATTCGTATGGCTTGACGACAACATCTTGTCCCAAATGAGCCTTGACCTCTGGTGTCAACTTGTCATCATCGATATAGATCTCAGCGGTGGTGGGCGTGATGACCACATAAGAGAAAAACACGGGGTTGTAGGGAATACTGCTCAGGGTTAGTCAATTACCAATGATGCATCGCAGTGAAAATGCTATTCTTACTCGGTTCCTCTCAGGTTGAATAGCCAAGCAATCTCGTCGAGCATAGCTGCGATAAATTAGTCACTCAACCAGGCTAGGATATATGCAAGGTAGTCTTACATATGATGAATCCAGCTCTCTTCTTTGACTCAAGTTCCTTCCGCAGCTCGGCCACCTTCGCTTGGAATGACTTGCCAGCATACTTCTCGGGGTGAACGCGCACTTTCTCGCTAGGACGCGCGGGGCGTTCCTTACCCCAAACCAAGTCGACCAAGTTCTCCCGGACCCCTACGAGGGATGAACCGTTTTTTCTAAGGGTCTCGGCCAACTTTCGTGCACCAGCTATTGGACATTAGCGTCACCATCCACTCCCACATCTAAAATAACAATGCTCACACGCTGTGATCAAGGAGGGGTCAACACCCACAGCCTTGCCTCCTTGAGCCTCTTCCGTAGTCCTAGTAACAAGATCAATTTCCATACGGATCATTGTATATGACTGTCATATCATACCATTCCTGCCATGTAGGCACACCCTCGACTCCACCCTTCAACAGCTGCCAGTTGTTATCCAATTCTTTCGCGGCTTGGTTAAAGTAACGTCCATCGGTGGACAGCGCAGCTTTGCTCAAGGAGATGATTGCAGTACCGGCGGAGCCAGAGAATCCCGAAATGAATTCTATGGAAATGTTAGTTGTTGGCGCAAGCAGCGGAAGGGGGGTTGTCGCTGACCTCGGCGGGCATCACACGGCGCAATGTACTCGGATTGATGGCTGTCTTCTGAGGGCACAACTATACGAAGGTGGTAAGCACAACTGAAGGTTAAACAATGCATGGGGATACAGATATGATGTCATACTGTAAACATCCACCTTGTGCTGCTGCATCAGCTGCCTCAGCTTCGACAGGCGTTCCGAAGTATCCACAGCCCCCATATCGACTGTGTAGCGTGGACCAAAGACGGAGAAGTATCTTGGACGGGAGAGGGGCCTCAGCGATCGCAAAGATGTCCAAAGGCGAATTGGATGGGAGAGGGGCATGGACTTCAAGAGGTTCCTCGGCCTGTTAGCCTTTAAGAAGCTAAGCGAAGCAGGGATCAAAGGTATCAGATAAGTGCACGATAAGCTAATTCTGCAGGTCGTGTGGACTCTGAAGTGGCCTTTTACAGGTAGGCTTTTGGCCATAGGGCGATCTCCGAACGGCTACCCACGGCCCACTTGTGTTGTCATGTTTGCACTATCTATACTCACAAAGATCTTTCGAGACATGTACAACCAACACCATGTCAATTTTGCTTCTTTGTGGGAATTGATCTCATCTAGCTTTAGATGTCACATAATGCCATTGTGCTAATTCTTTATACAGCCTAGGCTAAGCTTCATGCCCTCGTGGTACTAGCTTCTTCAATAGAACCCGCCTGGGGGCTGTTGGTAGAAGCAATATGTAGAGAACACAAGTTTGACCTGCTTGCTCAGTTAGTCTTCTAAGTCAAGTTCCCTCTGCTAGGATGACGCCACCGGCCTTTAATTCCTGTAACTTGGATATAGCTGTATGGACTCTCGCCTCATCAGACTTCGATAATGTTTGCACGGATTCATTCACAAGAACTTGTGCATCAATGTATCTTAACAAACTTAAAATTTTATTTTTGCAAATGGTCAAGAGGGCCCATTCCAGAGACATCAGGACGTGGGAGCTGTTATTTGGTCTTAATGAGTTGCTCTTGTTCATGGTGCGCGAAGTCGTGTTCCTTGGCGGTGGATGTGAGAGATTCCACATGCTCTTTCACAGGCATAGTGAGATACAAAGTCTCTGAAAAATGAATTTTTCGCGTATAACATGTAATATTGTACGGAGGAGAGCCAAAGACCTCAAAACATTTGTATAGTCAAATGTGAGCATGTCACGTGCTGGAAACCAGTGGATGAGCCCCCGCGGATACCGCTCTAGAAGCCGCTCTGATGCTGATTGGGTAAGTGATACAAACACTAGATTCTGCCCGTCATACCCCCCCGTGCTTGTATATGTCACTTCTCATTTTCATTTTCACAACTACACGCCTACTCAGACAAAATGGCAACATGGATGTCTGACGAGGGCCTTGGGGCCAGAGAGTCAATCTCAGAAGCGCATCTTGTATGTATGCCATCTCCACTTCTGAGATTCAACGACTAACAAAGAACCAGTTGGTCACCGAGCTCTATAATCCTGCAAACCAACGGGACCCCGCCAGAATTAATGAGATCCAAACACGCCTCCAACAACTTCAGAAGACTGAAAATGCATGGGCAATTGCGGATTCACTCCTGCAAAGCGAACACTCAGCCCATCATCGTTTCATGGGGGCCCTCACATTCACAGTGAAGATCAATGTCTCATGGTATGGTCAATCTTTGTGATCCACATCACTTCGATCTCATCCTTATATGATGAACAAATGCTGACATTGGATATCATTAGGAATGAAATTAACCAAAATTCCGCTGCCGAGATCATGCAGCACCTGATCAATCGCTTTGTTGCTTTGGTAACCAATGGTGAACAAGCAATGGTTGTGAGAAAGCTTGCCTCAAGCTTGGTTGCCATCTTCAAACACCCTACCACACCATGGAAACAAGCTATTTGGCAGTTAGCGGCAAGCCTTGTCCACGGCGAATATGTATCCGAAGAGCAAGCACAAGCGGTGGATTTTCAGGAGCGAATACTGCCAGCGTTGAGCAAGAGTGGATCAGGTGCACTCCTATTTTTCTCAATCTCACTCGCTGAGGAGGCTCTTCGACTTGACTCTGAACCACAGGACGGGGCTGGAGATACCTCCGCTATCCAGCGAGCCATACACAACATTAAAGATGGTCTGCTCCTGGTTCAATTTGTCCTAGAGGAGATCAAACAGCATACAAAGGCAGGAGGGGATGAAGCAGTTGATGTAGCACTAGCGGCTGAAGCCATGAATTCATGGAAGGTGAGTTGATGTCGAGCTCTGTCACTTGTGTGTCAAAGAGCACAATCGCTGACTTGACTCCCACCTCGCAGACATGGCTAGGTGTTCATGGAAATCGTCAACGCTCCTCTGCTGAAGATATCAATACCTTGGCGGTACGATGTGGCCAGACCGTCATTGAGACATTGAGGATACCCAGCTTGAGTGAAAGTGCAGCTGCTATTTTGACCCAAGCCTTTGAAAGCCGGCGCTGGGCCTTTGACAACAACTCATTATGGCTTATTTCTGAAATTATTGCCGATTCAATCGTCACAGTCCACATTGCCGCAGTGAGGAGTGGCGAAGCAGGGACTGAAAGCATGTCGTTTGTTGACCTGTTGATTGCATATGTCTCACATTTGCACTTAGATGTCTTCAGCGACCCCATGACACCACAAAATTCAGCGATCCTCACTCTCGTTCACGGTATATTTAAAACTCCTGGCTATGCTTCCATTGACGATCTCGGAACCCCACGCGTCTTGGAGTTTTGGAACGACATCGCAGAGAGTCTCCCTGATCAACTCGAGGAAGGCAGTCCTAGGTATGAATTGGTGAAGTCCCACCTAGCCCAAGTTGTCTTGGGTCTTTCCAGCAAATTACTATATCCTAAGTCTGAAGATTTGGAAGATTGGGGGGAGGAAGAGCGGAGTGAATTCGGTGCCTTCCGTCATGAGGCCTGTGATTACTTACTTTCAGCATATCCCGTACTCGGTGTTGATCTCGTCACTGTCTTCCAGAGGAGTGCAACGTCCCACCTAGAAGCTCGGGACTGGCGTAATTTCGAGACTGCCATGTTCTGCATAGCTCAGCTCTCAGAAGCAGTGGATGAGAATGGCCACGCCGACCAGTGTCTCGATGCCATCTTTGGCAGCGATGCCTTTGCCCGGCTCTGCGCAGGTGGGGATACTGGAATACCACTCAAGGCTCGTCAGACCCTGGTGGACTCCTTCGGAAAGTACGAATCATACTTTGAGCGTCACAGTTCATTACTCCCGGGTGTTCTGAACATTCTTTTCGAATCCCTTAACTTTGAACTATGTGCACAAGCGGCTTCCAGGTCAATATTGACACTTTCAAAGTCGTGTGCTCGCGTTTTGACGTCAGATCTTCCTGCATTCTTAGATCAGCTGGACCAGTTCAGAAGCAAGCCGACGGCGACTGTCTCCACCATGCCTAAGGTTTTGGAAGGAATTGCAACCATCATTCAAAGCTTGCCTAGTGACCAGGAAAAAGTACAAACACTAGAGAGAATTCTCAGCTTCTTTGTTCAGGAAGCTAACACGGCACGGGAAGAGGTCACGGGTCCTGCTCATGAATCTGGCCGTCTACGTGGACATCTTGTGCTGAGCTGCATTGCAAGTATCGGCAAAGGTCTTCGATCAGAAAGCGAAGTCATTGATGTCGAGCTTAACAAGGAAGGAAACCCCTACCCTCCATCATTCTGGAACTCTGGACCAGGTGCCGAAGCTCAGCGCCTGATCATGGAGTCCATGAGACTTCTAGTTGTCGGCTTCCCTGTGGATAGCAGCATCATTGAGGCAGCCTGTGACATTTTGAAAGCTGGCTACACTGAGCGGGCAGGACTTTTTGTCTTCCCGCCCTCCATGACGGTGGACTTCATCAAAAGTTTTCCCCTCGGTATCTCTGGGACAGATGTTATTATGGCGACCGCCTCGTCATTTTTGGCATCTCACGCTCGGCATGCAATGAACATCCGCAGCGAAGCTGAGGCGCTCATTGATCATGTTGCCCAGCTCTTCTCTTCGATGCTCCAGAATCCGGATGTATACGACCCAGAGACTGCTAATGCCGGAATCGATTTCCTAGCGCGTCTTTTACCAAAGTATTATCGGATCTTGTTTACTCCCATAAAATCAACCCTGAGCGCAGAGTCCTCTCCCCTCGCTGTGCTTCTTCACTTCACACTTCACGCCTTGACGCGACCTGAGCCACTTCCTCTCCGTTCTGCCTCTGCATTCTGGGTTGCATTAATAGATTTGCGCGGCAGTTCTCCAGAAGAAATGAACATACTTGAATCAGTCCATCAAGAGTTTATTCCACGCTTGTGTTACACCATCATCCAGCAGATTGCAGGTCGATGCGCAAGATCAGATTTGGTCTCGTTGACTGATGTTCTACGACGCACGATTTTCAAAAAGATGGCATTGGCGCGCCCGGCTTTGAAGGCTGCGCTGGACTCTTTGAATGCCCAGGTCACAGATGCAAACGGTCAACAAGTGCCACTCCTATCGGCACAAGACAAGTCGCGGTTCTTAGAGTCTCTTGCCATTGCTAGAGGTGGTCACAAACCGTCTCTTGATCTTGTACGTTCCTTCTGGTTGAAATGCCGTGGGATGAATTTCGATTATGCCCAGTAGTAGAGCTTGCGGTGCTGGTACATGACCTGATGATTGGAGTTGATGGGTCTTGCAACGTCGGTGTTCATTTAGATATCCATTTGCATGACATGCGTGGTGCAGCTTATTTAATATTGATTTGGAGTTCCTGTTCACATTCATCTGAGCGCCATAATTGAGGTTTTTAAAATCAAATTGTTGAGTAGCTCAGCCGCGGGGCCCACAGAAATACTAAGACTAGCACCTATACATTCGTCCAGGTATGGTGTGATGGGTTAACCTAACCACAAGATATGGGTTACTCAATAGATATCGAGCATTTTGCATCTCAAGCTAACTGGATCTAGAATTGGATTACTCATGTCTTGTGCCGTTAAGCACAGAAGCTAGATACGCCACCTATTGTTGTAGATAATACATACCATTTGAACATGGTACACAAAAGTCGAGTGGCAGAACAGACAATGAAACTATTGTTCTCCGCGAATGGGATCATAAATAATATACCCCAACATTTCCCGTAATTTCCCGTGGACAGCTGGCGGAGAGTACGGGGAAGGCTCCGTACCGTGAAGATGATAGCCGAAGCCCCGATTGGCTGGTTTCTCTGGGCTAAAAACGCCAATCTTGACTTTGCTGGCGGCTCCCCCGGACTCTCGGTGATACGTCCACGGCTCGGTGCGGGTAGCCTATCAGATAATAGCGGGATTAGTTTAATCTACGTTATGCATATTGTATTCTTGCGCGAGTCTCTCAAATCTTCTTGTTCTTATGGGGTATATTGTCTTATTCGAACATTGACATGCCATGCAACAGAGTATGCTATTGCCTTTCATCGTAAAAGCATTATAATTAGAAGAGAAATGTGTCAAATATGTATCTGTCGCGTTAGACATCTACTCATGGCTCATGTACAACAAATTTTTAGGATACAAAAACGATCAAGGCTGAAACAAACAGAAACGCATATCTACCAGCCACGGCCAGCCAACTTCTCAGCCTCGGGCAATTGCTTCACATTGATACCAACCATAGCCTCACCAAGACCCTGGCTAACCTCGGCAAGGACCTTGGGGTCCTTGAAGTGAGTAACAGCCTGAACAATAGCGCGGGCACGCTTCTTAGCATCACCTGACTTGAAGATACCAGAGCCAACAAAGACACCGTCACAGCCCAGCTGCATCATGAGCGCTGCGTCGGCAGGGGTGGCAACACCGCCAGCGGCGAAGTTAACAACAGGCAGACGGCCGAGTTCAGCAGCCTGGCGAACAAGCTCATAAGGGGCCTCGATCTCACGGGCGAATGCACGCAGCTCAGGCTCGGGGTCCTGGCTAGCGAGAAGGATACCACGGGCACGGGCGATCTGCGCGTTGACAGTGCGCATGTGCTTAACGGCCTCGACAACATCGCCGGTACCAGCCTCACCCTTAGTGCGGATCATAGCAGCACCTTCGGAAATGCGGCGCAGTGCCTCGCCGAGGTTGCGGCAGCCACAGACGAAGGGAACCTTGTAGCCGTGCTTGGTGACGTGGTAGACATCGTCGGCGGGGGTGAGGACCTCGGATTCGTCAATGTAGTCAACGCCAATGGCTTCCAGGATCTGTATATCAGTGATTGTTAGTGATATTGAGATACATTTTTTGCCTTCCCGCCACCGCCGGGAGATCTCCGGTTTTCCCATTTAACTGTCTACCCCTCCCCCGCATGGAGATAATTGTCATTGTCACATACCTGGCATTCAACGAAGTGTCCGATGCGGGCCTTGGCCATGACGGGGATGGTCACGGCTTCCATGATCTCCTTGATCATGCTGGGGTCGGACATGCGCGCAACGCCACCCTCAACGCGGATATCAGCGGGGACACGCTCGAGGGCCATGACGGCAGCGGCACCGGCTTCCTCGGCAATGCGGGCCTGGTAGTCGAGTCTGTCAGTATTCCATACTGGAAAGCAATGATTCCTCGTCATAGGGAGCTTACCTGCTCGGCATTGACGACGTCCATAATAACGCCACCCTTCAGCATCTGGGCGAGACCGGCCTTGACAGTGAAGTCATTGCCGGTGGTTCCGTTTGGAGCAGCCATTGTGAATTATGTGATAGCTAAAAGAAAGAATGGGAATATGAACAGAAGTGAATTGAAGTGAATAAGAATAAAAAGGGAAAAGAAGAGGAAGATAGCCCAATGAGTCAGTTAGAAATACACTTTTCCCCAAAGTTACTTGCCTCAGGCCACAGCGCCCCTCGCAGTTCCTTGGAAGGTCGACTATTTCCGTTTCCCGAGGGGATCCAGCCGGTGAAGAACAGACCGCCTGCTCTCTATAGAAGTCTTGGAAGTCTTGGAAACTTTGGACGGTTTGTGCCTCGGAAGATTTCTTTTAGTCATCTTGTTACATTGTCTCAGGCTTTGGCCTTGGACCTATTAACGTTACTGCCTAATTTAGTAGGTGAGATAGTATTCTATTGCGTGGTAGGTGAAGAGAGGCATTTAGAGGGGATTAGATTGATTCTTAGCATCTATTCCAATTTCGGAAGTGAGTCATCGCTATTAAACTTTATCCTATTTTGGCAGGAGAGTTGTTTGCTTTAAGCATAAATCGCTACAGAAGTATATTCTGGAAGTTATATAGACCCGAGTCTGCAGCTGCACCTAGCTTTCTGGCACATTTCGTACACGTACGATTGAGGGTCCACGGATACTACATTGCTCCATGTCCTCATCTAGCGTTCTATGTATTCTGTACATCCCAGATGTCTATACTTGTACAAATATAGCATACACAAGCATATCAATATAACAAGTCAAATCAAACTAAATTAAGAAAACCAAACCCCAAACTTCAAAATAAAGAGCCTCAATCCTTCAGGATCCATCCATGGATGAGCTCATATATGACGTCACCCGATATGATACCCCTTATCGGCTCCAAGGAGCTCCGAAGTTCACCTCCAAAATTCTCCAAGTCCGACCTTCCAACACCCTCAATTGCAAGAGAGACAAGCAAAATAAACAAATATGTCTTTCAGATTATTCACTCAACAACCTGCCACCCTCCTCCGACTGGGTCTCGGCGTCGGCATCGGTCTCTCCGCAGCAACCATGCACCCCTTGTCACCTTTCCGCGCTGCCCCAATGAAATGCGAATATGCCGTACCTCAGCGAACAGGCGTGAGCAATGATGCGGGATGGGCTGTTAAGTCTACCGAGTCAGCAGGACAGAAGCAGAGCCCGCGCGGGCAGAATGGCCTGTTGAACGCGGAGACTATGCGCCAGGTTAGTCTGGGGAGTGTATTGGGGCTTGTTGCTGGGGTTGGATTGAGAGCGTTCTCGAAAGCTTTGGTTGTGATTTTGGGCATGGGAGTTGTTATTGTTGAGGTATGGATAAGCTTCTGCCAGGGCTCTGGACTTTCCATTGGCTTTTCTTGGTGTTTCGGTGTCCGAAATTACGAGCTGGTTGCATATGGTCGTGACGTTACGCTAATGGTTCTTCACATAGTACGCTGCGTCCAAAGGATACAATATTCTTCCGATCAACCGGATTCAAAAGTATGTTAAGAACGTTGATTTGCGTCGCGCGATGAGTGAGAAACGGCCGTTCAAGATGAGCTTCGGTGCTATGATGGCAATGGCGGCGTTTGCGAATTTCTAGGCTTGATCTGTTTGGTTAGGCGAAAATCTAACGCTACCTGTACATATTTTTGAACAATGCCAAGTTGGATTTCGCCAATTGACAAGGACCGAATTTGAGCTATTGCGCACCATCATTAAATTTGGTAAAATGTTCATTCGTACAGGGGGTATCATGAGTCTTGATCTATTCCACACCAATTGAAAGGAGCAATCTATGCTACCCCAGCACCAGATCCTCCAGCACGCCTTCCATTTCATCGCGGGACAGTGGCACACCAAGTATCTCCATTCCGCTCGCATCCATACGCGAAGTGATCATCTGGTGGTCGTGGAACTCCTTCAGCAGGGTACGGAACATCATTTCCGAAGAAGCGACAAACTCTTCCGTTGCCTTCTGGTAAAGCAGGCGGAATTCGATGCCAGTCTCATCGCCAGCCCTGCCGCCGCCCTCTGCCGCACCTTCATCGTCTGACTGATGACCGTCGTCCAGTAAAGTAATCAGTTCTGTTAGCAGGAGGCGATACAGATTGCGTGCATTCTCAGGAAGACTCTTTAGCACGAAGCCTACGCCATCTTTCCCGCCAACGCGGCGGCCCTTGCGTCCAAGAAGAGCATTGACCTCCTCGACAACGTCGGCCTCCGCTGAGAACGGTAGGAACGTTGTGCAGTCATGGAAGACGAAATTGAGTTGATCACGCAGACTGATGTCCCACATGACCGGGAAGTTTGGGGTATCGGCTGTGACAAGGAGACGGATGCGTGGTGTTGCAGCCAGACGGGCGAGAAGCGCTTGGTTGGCTGCGCGGCGGAGAGGTGGTGCGTCAATAGAGTTGATCAAAACAGTGACGGGATCTTCTCGTGACTTGAGCGCGGATTGTAGCAGCTCAAGGACCTCGGTTGGCTGTGCACCGAGCTTGGATGGTGCATTGTCACCCATTACGGCTGTGACGATTGTCGCGAAGATTGATCGAATGGAGATGCCTGGTGTATAACCATTGACCATTACAATGATTGGAGTCGTTGTGGCTGATAAGCGGTAGTTGTAGCTCCACTCCGCGAATTCGTCCATGAGCTTGCGCTTAGAGCCATAACCATACAGGCAGATGTTGAACCCTTCATCGAACTCGAATGCCCACTGCGGGAAAGATCGGTGGTGCAAGGATTGCAAGTATTCCTTCTCTTCCTTGCACGGGTCCTCATATTGTCCAAGCTTCTCGAAGTATTCCTCATGCGTTAACAGCGGTACTTTGTTGAGAGTGGCATTTGATGTCTTGACAGGTCCGGCGCGGTTCTGGAAGAAGTATCGTTCGTGTGCAGGAAGCTCGCCTTCCGGTGTGGGGGAACGCTTATTTCTTGCACCTTTCGGTCGTCCTGCACGACGCTTTGGTTGTTTTACTCCCTTTTCGGGAGCCTCTTCTGCGCCTTCAGGTTCTATGCTCTCCGCTAGAGATTGGCCCGCTTTCTCTGTATCCGGCTCATCTCCATGTAAGATTTCTTCCGCTAGTCGTTCCGACCCATCCCATGCTGCATCTTCGTCCTGCTCGAATAGTACTCGCGCACTCTTCTTCCGTGCAGACCGATCTGCGTTCTTAACTCGAGACGGGGTGGCTGCAACTGCAGACTTGGGCTTGGTAGGCGTGGCGAACAAGCCACGAGCCTTGGATTTATGCGTAGGTGTTTTCAGGCCAGACTGTTGTAATGGCGTCGCGGATATACCGTTGGTCTTTTTAGGTGTTGATTGATCCCGTTCTGATGGTGAAAGCTCGTAGGAGGCATCGCCGTTTGGGAGTGCGTTGGGCGCGAGGCCATTCGAGGCGCCATTGGATTGTTCTAAGGCTGTACGCCGTCGCTTTGGTGTGGAAACAGGCGGATGGTCGCCAGCGTCTGAGAGCTTACGCTTCATAACGGTTTAGTCAGATTACAGTCACGTAGACGCGATGGGGAAAGAAAAGCAACAGTACCATGAGATCCGGAGAATGTGCAAAGGGTCAGGAAGCAAGGGGTTTCCAAGGGTAAATTCGAGATCTCGTAATTTGAGGAAGCGGCAAGTCTGACACTGGAATGTAAAGTATTCAGGGCTTCATTGGATCCCGACTTGAAGGAAATAAACTGGAGCGGATGGGTTTCTCCGACTCCGCGTCTCCAGGTATAGGCGATTATCAACTACGCTGTCTTGAATCCAACACAACTGTCGCAGGTTCACCTTTATTCCCGCATCATCTGTGGTCTTTGTCCTTTGCATAGATTCATCTGGAATTCCCATTCAAATTATACACCACAGGGAGTAAAAAAAGTCGCGCAAGTCTAGTGAACAAATCTACAGACCAGACTATATGTTAATTTTCCATTCCAATTCACTAGAATGTTCAAGAATTAAGCCAAATCATCAAATCCCAAGCAAAGTACCTCAATTGGTGGACTCATACCGCGCAATTAGTTGCCGAGTGGGGAGCTCCCGAGACCGGCTACTTTTTTTTCCCTTGACTCACGTTTGACTCACAAGAGAATCACCCCTTATAAAGAGCTGGTGTCTAGTCTAGCAACTGTCCTAGATACCACTGATGGTTCCAACAACCCAATCCGCCAGTATGGCCACCTCCCTCGCCCGCATGCTCAAGGGCCAAGTCCGATGCTACTCCGCACCGCTGGACATGGCCATTCCGGCCTCCAAACAGCGCTACATCCCCACGACTGGCACGTATCCCAAGGGCTTTCAGGTATCCGGCACCCATGTGGGTGTCAAAGCCTCCAACACTCGCTTCCCGGATCTGGCCCTGATTGCTTCCGATACGCCATGCTCAGCCGCCGCCGTATTCACAACCAACAAGTTCCAGGCTGCGCCAGTGCAAGTGAGCAGGAAGACACTGCAAAGCCGCAAAGGCAATGGTATCCGCGCTGTCGTGATCAACTCGGGCTGCGCCAATGCCGTCACCGGCAAGGGCGGCCTAGAGGACGCCGTGGAGATGGGAAGAAAAGTAGATGAGTGCAGCGGTGTTGAGAACGACAGCTCGCTAGTGATGAGCACTGGCGTCATTGGACAGCGGTAGGTCATTCCTACCCTCTCAATTGCATAACCAAATCCAGGGGATCTTCATAACTAACCAAACAAACCACCCACCAGTCTCCCGATCACCAAGATCCTCGACCGCATCCCAACAGCGCACTCGACCCTCGCCTCAACCCACGAAGCCTGGCTCACCACAGCCCGCGCAATCTGCACAACAGACACTTTCCCCAAGCTCCTCTCGCGCACCTTCACCCTCCCCTCATCCCCAGACCGCACCTACAGCCTTGCAGGCATGACCAAAGGCGCCGGCATGATCCACCCCAACATGGCGACGCTGCTCGGTGTTCTCTGCACTGACGCAGCGGTCGAGCCCGCGGCGCTGCAATCGATTCTGAAACACGCCGTGTCGCGATCCTTCAACTCGATCTCCATTGACGGCGACACCAGCACGAACGACACAATCGCTGTGTTGGCGAACGGCGCCGCAGGTGGCGAAACTGTGCGTGCACCGGGCGCTTCCGCCAGCGCTGACTACACCGCGCTGCAGGGCGTTGTGACTGATTTCGCGCAACAGCTGTCGCAGCTGGTTGTGCGGGACGGCGAGGGCGCTACCAAGTTTGTCACTGTGCGCGTGCGAAACTCCCCGGACTATGAGTCTGGGCGACAGATTGCTTCGACTATTGCGCGGTCGCCACTGGTCAAGACGGCTCTCTATGGTAAGGATGCCAACTGGGGCCGAATCCTTTGTGCGGTGGGTTATACGCAGGGTGTTGCTGAGGGTACCATTCTTCCTGAGCGGACTTCTGTCAGCTTCCGTCCGGTTGATGGGAGTGAGGTTCTGAAGTTGTTGGTCAATGGTGAGCCTGAGGCTGTTGATGAGAAGCGGGCTGCTGCTATCTTGCAGAATGAGGATCTTGAGATCGAGGTTGATCTTGGTGGTGGTGAACAGGGGGCTGCTGGGTGTGGTGGTGAGGATGCCGTTTATTGGTTCTGTGACTTCAGTCATGAGTATGTGACTATCAACGGTGATTACCGCACTTAAATAGAGATATCCTAGCGGCAATGGAAATTGGTGAATCGAGCAAGTCATTTCGGGATTAAAGGCCTTGAGCATGTCCATATTTATCAGACAAGTTGTTACAATAGGTATCACTATGCACGAGGTTGAGGATCATGGCAAGTTGAATATATGATTTTGGTTTTTCTAGACACATATGGTTACAAGACCCTGGGCAGGGTACTTTTAATCGCTGAGCACCGTCTATAGAGTAAGATTAGACCCACATGCCTGTACACATTGACAACATAGGACAAATAACACATTGTGTCGACGTGCAGAGGTTTCCGGAGAGGGAAACTCGGATGTTCATCGGCAGGTTAGTCAACCTGAACGACTGAATATCAAGCGGCGTGGTTCCAATTCAACCCAACAGATAGCGTTGATCCATTCACCCAAAAAGTATAACTAAGAGCGGACAGTAAAAAAAAGACAGAAAAGTAAACAGAGAGGTTGCAAAGGACTGGTGTGGTCCTATGTCATGCTACTCGTGAAGGGCAGTCTCATTTAGCTGCCGGGGACGAGGCCCTTGAGGCCAGCGCCAATGTCACCCTCACGGGCGGCGATTTCGAAGTAACCGTAGATGATGCTGTTGAAATGTTAGTTGAAAAGAACACAATGAATGCACGGAACTACTTACGTGACAGCAAGAAGAATACCAGTACCACTGCCGAGAGCACCCATAAGATCGGAGGCAACGGACAGGCCACCAATGCAGGCACCACCGAAAGCAGCGGCAGTAGGGATGACGCGCTTGAGCTCCTTGTACATGCTCTGCTCACGGTGACCAGACATGACGAGACCCTGATCCTTGAGCTGCTTGGCAACGTCACGGGGAGCGGAGCCGGAAACCTCAATCCAGGTCTTGGAGAAGAGAGCGCAAGCAACGAGCATGAAGGTAATGTAGACAGCAGTGTGGATGGGGTCGAGAAGAGCCTCCTTGAAGTTGAGAGGAGGCGACATATAGTAAGCAATACCCGAGGCGGCGTAAAGCTGGGCAGATCCCTCACGGGGCTCCCAAACTCCGAGAAGCTGGACCAGGATGTTCTCCGAGAAGCGCGAGTACAGCATCTGGCTGATAAGGAAGATGTTGGAGCACAGAGCAGACTGGAGCATGATAGGCATGTTGGAGGTGTAGAAGAGGCGAACGGGGTACGAGCCGCGCATGCCACGCTGGCGGGAAGACTTGACGGGGATCTCAACACGGAAGCCCTGCAGGTAGATGACAGCGGCGAAGACAAGGAGAGTAGCCAAGAGATTCATGACGTTGGGCAGGTTCTGGCGGTAGAATGCCTCATACAGAGCGCGCTGCTTATCGGGCCAGGTCAGGAGAAGGTGGAACAGGGCGATAATGGCACCCTCGAACTCGGGGCCACGGCCAGTGTTGATGGTCGTGGGGGAGAAAGCCTTCCAGACAATCGACTCGCAAATGTTGGTGGCAATGAAGAGAGAGATACCGCTGCCCAGACCGTAGCCCTTCTGGAGAAGCTCGTCAAGCAGGATAACAACAAGACCAGCAACAACCAGCTGAACAATGAGGAGAACACAGATACCAGCACCGAGGTCGCTGGGCTGGCCGTAGAGACCAGTCAGGACGTAGACACAGGCCTGTCCAAAGGAAAGAATGATGGCGAAGAGCTTCTGGGCAGTCTGGTAAAGCTCGCGGTCGGTCTTCAGGTCGAGGTTGACATCAATGAGGTGGGTACCGGCAAGGAGCTGGAGGACAAGATGGGTGAGTACAACTGCCGTGAATAATCATAAGAGCGCTCCAGAATCGCATACCTGGAAGACCATGCCGGAGGAGATAATAGGGGTGATACCCAGCTCCATCAGAGTACCCCGGTTACTGGCCAGCATCATACGAAGCCAGTACAGGGGGTCCGAAGTATCGGAGGAGACAATGCCGTAAAGAGGCATCTGACTCATGACCAAGAAGATCATCAAAGTCAACTGCAACAACATTCCATTAGAATTCAAGCCGACTTCGCGCGAAGAGTGCGGATTCGGGGCGACATACACCAGTCCACATCAACTTCTGGTTGAAGGGCACCTTGGTCTCAGGAGCTGCCACCTCCGGGAGGAGGGGCGTAAAGGGCTTGATCAAGTCAAGGAAGCGTACTAGAGTTTCCCCATCAGCATCTTACAATCAATTGAGGGCGATTCGAGACGGATTGTCGCGACGTGCGAGACGACGGTTCGGGGGACTCACGGCCGCTCATGGTGGCTATCTTCCTCCCAATCCGTTAGAGAAGTGAAGAAAGCTGGAGTCGAAAACCAGCTAAAGGAATGGAAGTGAAATATTAAGAGAAATAAAACAAAAAGGAGAAAAGGTGTAGTTGTTGAGAAGATGGGGGAGGAGGAGGGAAGAAGAAGACAGAAGTTCGCTGGCCACTTTTCGCTTCCGCGCTAATTAAGGCCACTTGGTCTTCGCCGCAACAACCAACTTGGTGACTCAACCAAAAAGGAAACAGGATATTGGAAGATAACTTCACTCATATGAGCTTTACTCCAATTCTCCAGACTTTTCTTCTCCATGCAATCTTTCAATTACGATGTGTTGTGCCCCAAAAACCGGGCTCCAAGCTATCCCCACATTCCAGAAGGCCACGGTACTAACTACGCGATCGGTACGGCTCCGAATAGACGGGGATTCTACAACATATGGGGTAACTAGCTGGAATGATGTTGACGTCTCCAAGTAAATATATCGACTGCTTTAGTTATATAGATATATGCCAACATACTATAGAGAGAATACTATTACCAAAAGAAAATCTAGCTTCAAGGTCCAACGAGACCTAGACAATCATCAATGACGATCTCAAGCTCTCCTAATCGT